CGATGAAGAAGATGATGATGATGATGATGATGATGATGATGATGATGATGATGATGATGATGATGATGATGATGAAGATGATGATGATGATGATGCTTCAATAAAATTGTGATAATGAGAATTTCGATTATAATATTGATAATTATATAATATGCATGTATGATACTACTACTACTACTACTAATAATAATAATAACGATAATAATAATAAAAATACTACTACTAATAATAATAATAACACCAATGATAATATTATGGTTGCCAGCAGGCTCTGACAACAAAAAAAAAACCTGAAAATTTTTTGGTATATAATTCAAAGCGCAGCGTGCGGCATTTTGCCAAAGCGAGTTTGAGTGTCTTTTCGTTTCTGGTATTTCTGGTTTAAAAATAAGTACTTAGTTTTAAACTATGTGCCTGTTTCAATACTAGGTTCCTAGTTTCTGACTCGTTGTGTTTTGTTAATTCGGATTTTCAAAACTAGGTACCTATTTATTCGGTTTTAAGAAGAAAAAAACCCCAAATAAAATGCCCAGCCCCAACCGGAAATGCACAAGAGTTCAGTGACCCGTTTTGGTCTTCCTTCGGGCCTAGCCGGTGTCGAGTGACAATTTGCCGAACAGGCAGGAAAATTTTTTTTACCGGCTCCGCATTTTCATGACGTACTAGGTAGGTGATCAGGCAACGAAGGGGTTAAACACGAGTGCGTGCGAGAATGAAGAATGAGTTGTCATTTATTTGTACAAGTATGGGCTTGAATCTCCCTCCCTGAGAAAAAAAAAATCTGTTGTTGTGGTAACACAAACACGACGTCTAGTCGTCTCCTTACTGTCTGCTTTTTTTTTTTACATTTTAGTGAGAGTTTTACGGCACTTGCAACACAACAAGGTCATATAGGTGCCGAAGATTAGAGGTGTTACAAGGGAGAGTAACGAACACAAAAAAGGAGGAAGAGAGATGAGGACGATAGATGTTCGATAGGGAAGAAGGAGCAAACCACACCAGAGCAGAAGAATGAGTTGTCGTTCATACAAAGTGTGGGCTTGAATCTCCCTCCCTTGTTTGTTTTAGTAGAGGTTTTACGGCGTTCGCAACTGCATCAGGTCATATGAGCACTAAAAGATTAGAGGTGTTACAAGAGAGTAACAAACATAAAAAAGAAGAAGGGGAGATAATGACGATAGATGTTCTCCCTGAGAGAAAAAACAATCTGTGGTTGTGCTTCCACACGACACTAACATGACGTCTAGGCGTCTCCTTACCGTCTGCATTTTAAAGTTTTAGTAAGAGTTTTACGGCGCTTGCAACACGTCATATAAATGCAGAAGATTAGAGGTGTTACAAGGGAGAGTAACAAAAAATTTTAAAAAGGAGGAAGAGAGATAAGGACGATAGATGTTTGATAGGAAAGAAGGAGCAAACTACACCAAAGCAACCGCCACCCACCCAGTCTTACCGTCTGCGTTCTCCGCCTGTCCCTCCTCCTCCTCATCATCGAAGTCGCCATCCTCAACCGAGCCCTCCTCCTCATCTTCTTCTTCTTCATCTCTTGAGTCCTCCTCCTCCTCATCTTCTTCTTCGTCTCTTGAGTCCTCCTCCTCCACCTCGCCCTCCTCATCATCATCACTTTTGTCATCGGCCTCGTCACCCCCACCACCATACCACAAGTCGTGCATCTTTCTGAACGGCCACACCCGCAGACAGAACTGTCGGTGGTCTTCCTGACACTCACACCGCATCGTGCCGATCTCCAACACCACAGCTGGGGATGTGTGGTGTGTGGGTGTGGATGTATGTGTGTGTGTGTGTAGGGGGGGAAGGGGCGTGTGTGTGTGTGTGTGTGTGTGTGTGT